TCATCAAGTCGGTCAGTTTGACCCTAGCTTAAACCCAACGTAGTCTTAACACAACCTAGCTTGACCCTAGCCCAACCTCGCCATACCCTAGCCCAAACTAGGACTAGCTCGAACCCAGTCCGACCCTAGCGCAATTTAGCCTCACTCTAGCCTGAATCAAACCTAGCTTGAACCTAACCTAGCTCAAACTTAAGCTAGCCTATCTCTAGCCCAATGTAGCTTGACCCTAGTTCAACCTAGCCTAAACTTTGCTCAACAGCGTAACCCTATCCCAACCTAGCCTAGCCCGAGCCCAACTTATCCTGACTATAGCCTAATCCGGCTCAACCTTAGCTCAGCCACAACCTACGCTAGCTCAAACCTCATCCAACCCTAGCTCCACCCTAGCCTAACCTCAATTGAGTTGAAGCTTAACCTAACCTCACCTTATGCTACATGCGTAATTTGGTGACTTTTTCTATTGTATCATGTTTCAAGTATGTTCTGTGTATGTATCATGTTTAGTTCATTCTAAATCCATGTATTGTATAACTATGTGTATAAAATTGAAAAAAATAGAGGATGGAAACATCTCATATGTAGGTTCTCCTTATGAACATTTTGATAAAATGTATATCATTTGCAAGTTTATTTGGTTCAAAATCTTTGAATAAATTCAATTAATATAAAGTTAATTTAGAAATGATTTAACATTAATTTAAAATTAATTTAAAAATTAAAAAAGCATAGTAATTTTAATTAATTAAAAATAATTTTAAAATAACTTAAAATAATTTAAGACTATTTAAGAAGAATAGTAACTAGATAATAATAATAATAATAATTTTAAAACTCTTCTAAAATAATTTGAAACTATTAAAATATTCTAAGTTAACTTAAACTAAACATCTTAAATGCTTAAAACAAAACAATTTAATTACTTGAAATGAAATAAAATATTGAAACATTTAAATCACATAAGATAACCATAACATTTAAACTAAGTAAAATAAGATAACCCTAGCAATTAAATCAAATAAGATAACCTTTAAATTCAAACTAAATAACTTAGGATAAATTGCACACTTAAGTTAAATAAAACTTGGGATAATTTAAACACTTAAATCAAATAACAAGTTAAGACACTTAAACTCAAAACAACTTAAGATATTTAAACCTCCAAATTAAAACTTTAAACTTAAGCAACTCAAAATTTTTAAATCATTTAAAACTTTAGAAGGAATTGAATCACATCAGCTTGCAAGTGGAATGAAATTTCATACACGGAGAACTAAACTTAAGACAAAACTGAATGGAGGATGCCAACTTAGAAAACCATATGTAAAACTTTAAAACTAAGAGAATTTTGGTTTTCACCCTAACATGCAATTAGAAATCAAAATAAATCATGAATTAAAAATATAAAAAACCGAAACAAATTAAAATTCACAAACTCTAAATCATGCAAACTAAATCTAGGTAGATCAGTCTTGAAACCCTAAGTCAGCCAATGTAGAATTAAAACTTGGGGTCACACATACATTAGATTAGTCAAGTCTAGAAGCTTAAGTTAGTTTATCAGGTTCCCTAGTTAGTGTCAATGACTAGAACATAAAAGATAAAAACCCTTATGATAGAGTAAAAATTTTGGGTTTGTGTAGACCCATAGTCTTAAGGATTTTCATCATCTAAATAATTAGATTTATTTCATGTCAATATTTTCTCCTCTCATATTGATATATTATTATTTAAATATCATATTCAATCGTTTAAATATAAGCATTTCAAGATCTATGGTGGATGGACATGAAAAATGAAAAAGAATATCCCACCATACCTAATTATAATTCTCAGAGAAAAAAAAATTATATTTTAAAGAGAATACCTAATTGAGCCTCACAAAACGAACATTAATGACCAGTCTTGGTTAAAACAATTGTATATAAATACACATTGCTCAACACATATAAATGCTAGGTCTCATATCTTATTATTCTTGTTAAAGGGTTATTGCTAAGCAAAAGTTGTAAGTAAATCTATTAGATATAATATACTCATTTAATTGTCGCTATTAAGTATGACTATCTGCAAACAAATACAAAATAAGTCTACTAAATAGTCATAAACATTCAATATAGAGCACAAAATCCATCATATCAAATCCACAACCAACCACATCACAATAGTCACAAAAATTATAAGAAAAACAAAACAAAATTTCTCTAACCTAGATCTTGATTAGTGGCCTAACAAATAAGTCTACTGTGTGTGAGTAGTGTGAGTAATACGATGTATCATTAATGGACCTTAATATTTCAATTTTAATTTTTTCTTAGTTAAATTTTTATACAATTTAAAGGATTAGTGTTTTGAAACTTCATTTTAAATTTTTGTTCATTTAGATTTCACTTAGTATAAAATTTTAAAGAGTATCATAATTACTGTGATGCATATGAGGGTGAGCCCTACCACTATAAACTCTCTGGACTTAGTATAGTGTATGGCATCTAAAAGTTCCTAAGTTGATTTAAGTTCATTTCTTGTTATTATTTAAGTTTTCATTTTATGAAATGTATATAATAATTATTTAATTAGCATATTCATTTTTATTATATTTAACCTTAATTGGCTTTCTTTCTTATTTCAATTTTGAATTTAATTAATTATAAATTTGCATGAAATCAACCCCATTAATAAGAGATGACTTTACTCATGCAAGTTTAAAATTAATTTAGAAATATTTTTAATTTTAAAATTTTAATTATTTTAAATAAAAATTAATAAAAATAGTGAGATGATCAAGATTAAATAAACAACACTCCCTTAAAAAATTAAGATTATTTTGAAGATATTTTAATTTATTCTTAATTCATAAATAAATTTTAAGTGAAAATTAAAAATTTATATTAATATTTTTTATTTATCATTTTTTATATAATTTCAAAATATTTTTTAAATAATATTAAAACTTTCTCAAAAAATTATCTAAAGTTAATTTTTGTGGTCAAGGATAGCTTAGAATTACTATCATAAAAATTTTATGTTATTTTCAGCTAATTTTAACTTATAGTATTAAAATAAAAGTTAAAAATCATATTAAATGTTCTCTAAAAATTAAAATAATTTTCTTTATGATACTCCGGGTGAACAGAGAATACTCCCATAAAAAATTTAGGATTATTGTAAATTTACTTATTTTTTATTTAAAAATAATTAAATGACTTAAATTAATTTAAAATTTACATTTAATAAAAAATAATATAATTTACTAAAGAATCATGGCATGACCTTGTGGTGTTCCCAAAACCAATTTGAAGCATTAGGTTTAATTTATGTTTTGGGTGAATTTTATAATATTCTTATAATTGTTTAATAATTAATTAAACTCAAAATATTAAGGAATTAATAGGGAGGTTTGGATGACCCTATGGTTATTTTGTAATTTTTTAGAAATAATGTGATTACTTTTATATATTCTATAATTTAATTAAATATTTATTAATATTAATTACTTTTTATCCTTAAAATTTAATTTAATTAATTTTAAATTTCTTTCATTCTAAAAGTTTGAAGGATTTTACGCGAATTTAATTTAAATTTTCTTTTTTTATATCAATTTTTGGTAATTTCTTTAATTTAAGGTTAATTAATTAATTAACCCTTATGGTTTTTTAAAAATTATTATTATTTTGAATAATTAACAAACATATCACCTTTAAAATGACCCAATGATAATTTGAGAAGTATTTTAAAATTATTCAAAATTACTTTCTTTAAATTAATTTACTTAGTTTTGAAATTAAGATAATTGATCACAAAAATTAATTACCCATTAATCTAATTTTGAAATTACTTAAAATTTTTTTTAGAGGTTAATAAAGACCCAAGAAACGCCCTCAAGAAATTTGAGGTTAGTACTTAGTTTTGAAATTAAGATAATTGATCACAAAATTTAATTACCCATTAATCTAATTTTGAAATTACTTGAAAATTTTTTTAGAGGTTAATAAAGACCCAATAAACGCTCTCAAGAAATTTGAGGTTAATTAGATGCACATTTTAAGTTTAATTTTAAATATTCATTTTTTATTTTTCTCTAATTACTTCAAAATTACCCACTAAAAATGGAGAGTTTTATTTTCTTAGACTTAACTCTATTGTATTTCAAAAAGTATTTGTTTTAATTTCATTTTATTTTTAAAAAAATGTTATGATTTTTTTATTTGTGGTTTATTTATACAATAATTGTTAATTTAGATTGTATTTTTCACTTGGTGATAACATTGGAAGGATACAATGAGTGGTCAAAAATGTTAGAAAAAATATAGTGTCATCATTTTCTCCATGCCTTTAATAACTATAATAATGCTAATGATTTGTACTAATTCACATATTATTTGAGCCACCATTAGTGTAGATAAAAAATGTAACATTATTCTCCCATAAGTGAATATAAAAATGATGATGAATAATCTAAACTCATGCTTCATTAGTTATATAGCTTCAAAATGTCTCATCACATAATTTGATAAATGTCACTTATATGGCACTATGATATTATTCATATTTATTTTTTAGGTTTCTTTGGTTCTTCTAATAAAAAAAAGCTTCAATTTATGTGTTGGATATATAAATACATAAGAATTGTGTGGAATGCATCTAAAATTAACAAATTCCCTAATTTATGTGTTGGATATATAAATACATAAGAATTGACAAATTTCCGTCTAAAATTAACAAATTCCCTCACAATATTTTTCTATAGGGCGTCAAAAATTGACCATCGAAAAATTTGGGTTATGATTGGCCTGAATATTTTTCGAGTTTAGTTCGAGACAGAAAATTTAACTAATTTATTATTCTGATCAAGTTCGATCAAGCCCAAAAATCCAAACATGACTCTAATAAGAACGCAATTTCGGATCCGTTCGAGTTAACCCTACTCGAATGGAGTCATTTCCGAGTCAATCCAAACCCGACCTCTCGTCTTATTTTGATATTTTCACTTTTTACGGCCTCACTGTCCTTCACTCCTTCATCGCTCCACTGGTGCGCATTGAAAAAGCCCAGCCCTTTTCGGCTGTTACATCTTCTTCCCTGCCACTTGCTCCCCCTCTCCTCAACCAACCTTCGCTAAGTGTCACAACTGCACTTAAAACTCAGTTCCATAAATAGCCATCTTTCAGTTATTTCGCCACTCTCCACTTTCCATCCCTTCTCCCACTCCCTCTCTTCACTCCACACCTCTCCTCTTCCCACCTAATTCTCTCTTCCACAACTAAACCTCCCCCCTCCCCCCTTCTTCTCCCTTCCCCCAAACTTCCTCTTTATAAATCCACATCACTCCCCTTCCCCCCTCTCGCCATGGCTCACTCTTTCACCAACAGCAGCTCCGGTGAATCCCCTTCACCCACCATCCTCAAGCGCAAGCGCACCAAGCGCCGCCGCACCCTCCCTCCCACCGCCCCCACCTCTTCCTCTTCCTCCAACACCACCGAGGAAGAACAGGACATGGCCAAGTGCCTCATCCTCCTCGCCCAAGGTACCACCTTTCCGGTCAACCAAGCCGCAACCACCCCCTCCCCACCTACCGCTCCGATCGCCTCACACCATTGCATAACCTGCAACAGATACTTCCTCTCCTTCCAAGCTCTTGGCGGCCATCGCGCCAGCCACAAGAAGCCCAAGATATCAGCTCTCGACGCCGAGCTCGCGAGCTCCTTGGCTAAACCTGCTGCCTCTTCTTCAAGCGGCGGCGTGAAACAGAAGACTCATGATTGTGCGATTTGCGGGTCCGAATTCTCCTCCGGCCAAGCGCTCGGCGGCCACATGAGAAGACATCGTCCTGCGATCATTTTACAGAAAAATTCAGAGATTGACAAGAAGAAAAACAGAGTTTTGCTGCTAGATCTCAACCTTCCTGCTCCGGAAGAAGAGGAGCCCTTCGTCCCCGGGAACCCAGTCGTCTTCTCGCCTTCTGCAGCGGCGTCAGCAGCGGCGGCGGCGACCGTGGCGCTGGTGGTCCATTGCCATTACTAGAACTATACATATATTTATTTATACGGTTTACTATCATGAGATCATGTGAATTAAGCATATAAACATATCAAAAAACGTTTTTTGCGAGATGAAATATTCATTTCATTCTTTTTCAAAATTTTAGTTTTTTTTTAATGTTATTTACAGAAAAAATGGAAATTTGTTCACGTAAAGGAAGTGATGGGGAAGCTTTTATTTTGTTGATCAGAGACAGTTGTATTTAGCTTTGATTTGGCTTGGCTTCTCCACCGCCAAGAAAAAAAAATAAAGGGGAGGGGAGTGGAGTGGATTAGGTCACTCATCCCATGAGGTTGTTTGGTTTATAAGACAACTATATCTCAATACATTAATCGCTAAATACAATAAAAGGGAGGCTATAAACAAATCCCCATCTAACAATCACCCACTACTATTCTTTCATTATCATTCATATCTTTATGTCCTCATGGCCTAACTCATATAATGGTATAACTACAACATCACTTCACTTAATCATAATTGTGTGTGCCTCTCTCTCTCTCTCTCTCTCACTTACTCCGATAAGATTTGTTTAAGGCAGCTTTCAAGTTATTTTATGTTTCATACTGTCTCCACGATTTTGTTTGGCTGCTATTTTTCTGTTAAGAAATTTCTGTGATAAAAATCTTATTTTTACAACCGAATCTATTAAATTATAGTAGAGAAAGCTGTTGTTTGACTTTTAGTGAAAGTGAAAACTTTAAGAAAATGATTTGATTGTCACATATTTTACAATTATTTTTATAAAAATGTCATTTTGCTTTTCTACTTATAATTTAAAATTGATAATTGATTGAATTAAGACTTTTTTTTTTTTCTAATCTGAAGTGTTTGAATGTGATTAGAGGAAAGAGTTAAGAAATCTCAGCCATTCAATTTAGTTTTGATGTTAATTTTTTTTTAAAAAAAATAAAAATTATTTTATAAAAGAAAGTGGAATCAATCTTTGCATTTAAAATGGATTAAATGAATGAAGGGTTTTTTTATTTTAACTTTTAATAGTGGTGATAAATGAAATGAATCTGAATTCCGGAATTTGTGCATTTAGATCGAAGCATAATAACTCCATTCTTTTGGCATTGACATGTTTCTTTTTTTATCTTGTTTAGTTATAATTCCCTTTGCTTGAATGTTTGTATGTTTTTTATTTTATATTATATGAAAGTTAATTTGTTGCTTCAAAATAATAATAATTATTATAATTATAATAATATTATTATTATTATGATCAATTCAAACAAATATCCTTCTTGATATAACCTTTACTCCCTAAATGTAGTTGAAATATTAAAAATTAATTTTTGGTTGT